AGATAATAGACGAAAATAATCTAAACAAGCTGACTAAAATAGCATAAATATAAAAAATAAATGTAATTGCAATAAATATGTATTTTGTTTGTTTATATATATACCTTGACATCATATTTTACCTATCTACAATTCAGTATTGCCATAGGTCAGCAAAACATTCTGATCTCACCTTGTTAGCTGATTTTATGGACCTGCCAAACATGGCACTTTATGGCCTTAAATATGGTTTTCCATTTCAATATATTATTCGCCGCTGGTGTTCAGGTTTTTTTTTTGTTCTTTGGGGTAATTGGGTAGCACGTGCCCCACCTTATCGTTGGATAATCAATGCTGATAAGTTAACCAAAACTGCGAACATAATCAGCTACGATAAGATCGGACTAAAGTGCCAAGAGCTGAGTTACCATTGGCTCCAATTATTCGGCAGTGGTCAGGTGTTTGGATTAAACGTGGCAAAAACACAGCGCGATAGCCAACAAATATTTTTTTATTTACAAATTTCGGTCAAGGACTCAAGCGAACGAGATGGCAGCTGAGGTGAATAAAGGTGAGTTGAAGATGAGAAAAATTAATTAATTAATTAATTAATAATATTTTATTGAAATTTTTGGATATGTAGACCTTAAGCTGATTCAGTTTATGAATTTTATACAAAATTTCTAGTGCTGAATAATATTCAATAATAAAAATATGCATTTCTTCCTTATCTTATTTTTATTATAATTTTTATTTAAATTATGAAACTCTTCAAAAGTCTGCGCGAACTGCGGAATTTCCTTGGCCCATTCGACTTTTGGTCATATATAATATACAGAATTTATACTCTGTCCAAGTGCAATCGGAAATGATCCATAAATATAAACTTGGCGCCTATTCAAGTCGTGTGGCTAGCCACGCTGTCTAATAAATGTCAAGGTGTTTTATGATCTATTTAGATTGTTTAGACTTTAATCGCAGCTAAAAAGCGAAATAGCTTTATGGCAGAGCTGTTTAGCATTCCAATAAATCATATTCTCCGTCTGTTTTCAGGTCCTGCTCTGGGCATACGGCATCTGCAGGCATTGCTTATATTCATAACAATCACCTCCGTCTACATTGGACGCCTCAATGTGGGCGTGTCTGTGGTGGCCATGACCAATGCCGAGTCGACAAATCCCGATTTTCCGGTGAGTACCGATTACAGTTGGTCCCATAACTCTGCTGACAAGTGTGTAATTCCTTCAGGAATACGACTGGACGGAGGCAGAGAAATCGTACATATTGTCCAGTTTCTACTGGGGCTATATTATCACCCAGTTTCTGGGCGGATATCTGTGCAAGTTGTTCGGCGTGAAGAACGTCATGTTTTGGGCCACGTTTGCGTCGGGCGTTTGTAGTGCTGTCACGCCCCTCTTCATCGGCTGGGGCGGCTGGGGCACCTACTGCGGCATACGTGTGCTGATGGGCTTCGCCCAGGGCCTGATCTTTCCCTGCATTCATCAGCATTTGGCGCGCTGGTCGCCGCCGGAGGAGCGCAATCGCCTGGGCGCCCTGAGCCACACGGGCATCGAGGCTGGCAATGTGCTGTCCATGTTTGTGAGCGGCATGATTGCCAAGGGCCCGATGGGCTGGCCGGGCATCTCGTATATATCGGCTGGCGTGGCCTTTGCCAGCTGCGCCCTGTGGTTTGTCCTGGCGGCCAACAATGCCACCGAGTCGCGTTTCATTGGCGAGGCCGAGAGAAACTACATCGAATCGTCGCTGAAGCACAAAGAGAATTACCACAGCACCGTCATTCCCATACCCTGGCGCGCCATATTCACATCGGGTCCTTTCCTGGCGCTGATCGTGGCCCGTTGCTCGGAGACCTGGGGCCTGAGCACGCTGCAGGCCGAGATTCCCGCCTACATGAATGGCGTGCTGCAAATGGACATCAAGGACAATGCGCTCTTCTCGGCGCTGCCCTTCCTGGCCATGTGGATCATGTCGTATGTGTATCTGGTCTTTGCCGACATCCTGCTCTCGGGCAAGTGCCTCTCGCTGACAGCCATACGCAAGACCTTCAACTCGATCGCCTTTTGGCTGCCGGCGGCCACACTGATTGGCATTGGCTTCCTCGATGTGGACCAAAAGAATTTTGCCATCGTCCTGATGACACTCAGCGTGGGCTTCAACAGCGGCGCCACCATTGGCAGCTCCCTTAACTCCATCGATCTGTCGCCCAACCACGCCAGCATCCTGATGGGCATTGTGAACACGTTGTCCAACGTGGTGCCCATTGTGACGCCGCTCGTTGTGGGTCAGATTGTCAGCGACAATGTAAGGCTCGAGTTCTCTCTACTTCTCCATTGTCTAATCTGGTTTCTCTCTTTCGCTCAGACCGATCGCAGCCAGTGGCAAATCGTGTTCATTATCTCCTCGGTGATCTTCTTTGTGGGCAATTGCATTTACCTGTTCTTTGGCACGGCTGTCTCGCAGCCCTGGGATGCCGAAGATTTTCTGCAGCCGCAGCCCATTGCCGGACTGGAAATCGGTGAAAGACAACACGAAAAACCGGATTCGAAAATGCCCATTAGCTAATTGATAGCGCAGCTAATCGAGTACTATTTACCGAGCTAATCATCACATATATGACACAAATACAATGCGCCAAAACTCAACGCTGTAAAGTACACACATTATGTTAGATATACTCAACAGTTGCCCTGCCACTAACAGCACTTCGTTATGTTAATGAAACTGTTAGGCATTATCAATAAATGTTATCGCAAGACACTGACAGAAAATTGTGCCGTAGAAGAAATTGCAATAAAAAATATTATTCTAGTTTTATATTCCATATTTTATTACTGTGAGATATATTTAATATTTATTGTTATTTTTTTTTTTTTATTATTTATTATTATATTATTTTTCCTATGAGACTCACATCTGCGTGCCTTCAAATATCCATATAATTCTTATACTTTAATCATATATAAAACGCATCTCTCCTATGGAATATTTTAGATGAAACTTGCCTAAATCCTCATAGACGATGTGCTTTTGACTCTTTGAGGACAGCTGAATGATATTGTTAGATTTGGAAATATTGTTAAGGCTTTCAAAAAGATTCCGAATTTTTCACTAAGTACATAAGGGCTAAGGCTTTTTGAATGACTGAGATTGAGATTGTGAAAGATAAATAAGACTGGAATTTAATGAATAAAATTCATTCATTCATTGCAATACTTGGCTAGACAAAAGCAGTTCAGTTATTAAAATACTAGTAGCTAAAGGCTTCCTATCTTTTATTCAACAACAATATCATAGCATGCTACTACTACCTAAAAAAAATTCATTTATTGGGTTTTGTTTTCGGCAGTTAAAGGCAAATCAGTGTAATATATAAAGAAAGATAGAATAGCACTCAAATGATCATGATATATTATTATCTTTATGCTTGAATGAAACCCTTTTTTGGTTAACTATCTTTAATCTATAATCTACATATATACAGATATAAAATCAGTGTATCTGAGCCAGTTTACTAAAAGGCTTTTAAAAATATCTAGCCATACCAAATAGTTGTTAACTTTAATGATAGATCAATACTAATCCTTAGATAATCATTAAAGACAACCTTTGCACGGGAAGTATTATTAATTCTTTAATCTTTAGAGCTCTGTTTTAAATTATTTATAATATAATATGAGTGGAAGGACTGTTGAGAATCTTATGAATTAGGCGATAAGGCGAAAGTGGCTAGAAATACTGTAATACATATATATGTATGTATAAGCACTCAAGAGTTGTCAAGCTGTTATGTAGATAAGATATAATATATGGAAGTAAACCGTTTCAAGAGGCTCTTCCTTATGTTATGAAAGAAATCTATAAATGTAAATTAATTTAGGCTTGGCAACTGAACTCGCTTTTGACATATGAAATATTTATTTAAATATTGAAAAAGTCTGTGAAATTAAAAATATTTTCTTGGAAGAGCGCTTATGATTTTATTAATAGTCGAAAGCATTAATCATCTTTTACCGTTGTGGCTAAAACAATAACGTGTCCCATCCGTCTGCTTCTTGCTTTCTTAGCCGCTGCAATCGCAAGGCTTTGAGGTCTGTTGATAACTCACTTAAACTTTACTTTATTTAAAGCGAGTCAATAAAATGTTATAAATAATATTCAGCAATTGTTGACATTGTTATTCCCCACTAGGACAGAGTTTTTTATGTGGTTAAATGCACTGCGACAAAAGTTTGGATGGCGACAAATGGAAAAAGTGAGAAAAAAGCCAAGAAAGTTGTGGAAAACTATGTAGAAATCAATTTAAATTAAGCAACTCGAAGATAAGAATTACTAAATTGAGCTATTTATAGATTTTCTATTTATATTCGATTTTTGTTTTTTGCAGTGTATTTGCCACTTGAGCGACATTAGATTATTATGATTATATATTTCGTTTTCATTTTGTTTGCGAAATATTATTTTGAAATCATATCGATTAATTGTATTATTTATTTAGCTGGTAGCATCGCCGCTAATCAGGGCATTATTATTAACTTGACAATTTGATTAAATTCATAAAGCACATTTAAAGAGACTCATTCACGCGCTGAGTATTAACAGCTGGCCTGGCCCTGTGTGTGGCCACAGCTGTTGGCCCCGAAGCCGTGAACTTCAGTTGGCCAAAATCTGTTGGCAAATAAACAGCTCAAGATTAGACGTCACATTCGACTCTATTTTTAGCATTTATTTGCATTGGCTGATAGGTGGAACGTCACCAGCCTGATCTTGCCAGGAGAGTACGAAGCTGTGCGTCAAGCGGCCGGCAGTCGCTTGAGTGTGCATGAATGAATTGCGCTGCGTGGCTAGTCTAGTCAGCCGACAGCCAGACGGCCAGTGGCGTTTTCATATAAAAGTCGACACTGCCGTAGCTACCAGCTCCAGAAGCGTTCCACCCAACAACTGGTGCACAGATATATAAGAAATAAAATAAAGTAAAGTTAAGTTAACAGAAGCAAACCTGGCCACAGCTCGAGCCATGAATAGTCAGTGCCAGGCAGTCAAGGGTCCGCGCATCGGTGTGCGGCATTTGCAGTCGCTGCTGCTGTTCCTGGGCCTCACAGTCATACACATTGCCCGCTTGAATGTCAGCGTCGCCATCGTGGCCATGACCAATGCCGCATCCACAAATCCCAATTTTCCGGTAAGTACCCGATGCCAACTGCAAGCGCCTACAGCAGCAAAGCTGATCACGTCCTCCGTCCTCTGCAGGAATACGATTGGACGGAGCGCCACAAGTCGTATATTCTGTCCAGTTTTTATTGGGGCTACATTTTGACGCTGTGCCCGGGCAGCTTCCTCAGCCGTCGCTTTGGACCGAAGATCGTGTTCTTTGTGGCCGCCATTGGCACGGCCGTGTTTAGCCTGATTACGCCGTGGTGCATCTCCTGGGGCGACTGGCAGGCCTTCTGCGCCCTGCGCATACTGCAGGGCCTCTTCCAGGGCGTCATCTTTCCCTGTGTCAACGAGCATCTGGCCATGTGGTCGCCGCCAGAGGAGCGCAATCGCCTGGGCGCCTTCAGCTTTACGGGCTCCGACTGCGGCACTGTGCTGGCCATGTTCATCAGCGGCATGATCGCCAATGGCGCCCTCGGCTGGCCGGGCATCTCCTACGTCTCGGGCATATTGTGCATTGCCTGGTGCATACTCTGGCTCATCTTTGCCGCCAACAATGCCACCGAGTCGCGCTTCATCAGCGAGGCCGAGTGCAAGTATATCGAGTCCTCGCTGCAGCACAACGAGCACTTCCACGAGCGCAGCATACCCATACCATGGCGTGCCATTTGCTGTTCGGTGCCATTTATGGCCCTGCTCGTCGCCCGCTGCTCGGAGACGTACGGGCTGAGCACGCTGCAGGCGGAGATTCCGTCGTACATGAACGGTGTCCTCGACATGGATATACAGAGCAATGCGGTCTTCTCCTCGCTGCCCTTCCTGGCCATGTGGCTGCTCAGCTATGTCTATCTGATCGTGGCGGACATTGTGCTCAAGCGCAAGTGGCTGTCGCTCACCTCGGTGCGCAAACTCTTCAATACGCTCTCCTTCTGGATACCGGCCGTGGCCCTGATTGTGATTGGCTTCCTGGACGAGGATCATGCCAATTGGGCCATTGCCCTGATGACGCTCAGCGTGGGCGTGAACAGCGGCTCCACCATTGGCAGCTCCCTGAACACCATCGATCTGTCGCCGAATCACGCCGGCATCCTGATGGGCCTCAGCAATACGGTGGCCAATGTGATACCCATTCTAACGCCACTGATCGCAGGCGTCATTGTGGTGGATAAGGTGAGTTGGAGATATGTCTATAAAGTATATCACTTACATCTGAATCATCTGTTTTCATCTGATTGCAGCACGATCGTGGCCAATGGCAAATTGTTTTCGGCATTGCGGCCATCATCTTCTTTCTGGGCAATTGCGTGTTTCTGATTTGGGGCACGGCTGAGGCGCAGCCCTGGGATGCCGACGACTTTCTGAGGCCCAAAGATGCCGAGACATGCCCGGAGAAGTCGCCACCAGTTGCTGAAATCGCGCCAGCCAAGCCATCCGCGCTGGAGCCGCGCATGAGCTGGCCGGATCGCCATGCGGCAAAGAGCAGCGATTGATTTAAGGCGGACAAAGAATTAGTTGTATTTATCAGTATTAACAAATAAGCAGGATGTAATTTATTTTATTTATAAGGCCGTAAATGTGAGCTTAGGTAAAATTATATTTATAGAAATCAATTGAATTTCACATATTGTTTTTGTTGGGAAGGCGAAAAAGTCAAGACTCTTGAGTCATAATCTAATCGGACAATTTCAATAAAATATATATGCGACAATTTATATGTATATTAAGGTGAAATATTTGGTCAATCGACAGCCACCCGGTCAGCTGTAGAGGGAGAGGGATGGAGAGGGAGAGAGGGAGAGGGAGATAAATCGAACAGTTGTGAAAACATTTGTCACAGCTGTTTGATTTAGCAAACCCATTGAGAACTGATACCAAGCGCTACGTATGCTATATATTTAAAAGCTCTTTGTGTGCTTTGCACCTGCTTCTAAGGGGGCAATTACAGTTAGAGATAGAGCTCGATCAGAGAGCTTGAGGCCAGGCACGCGACTCACTGTCTGTCTCTGTGTCTCTGGCTGTCTTCCTCTCTATCTAATCAGCCGGCATCTGATCAAATCGAAACTATGATCGTAATTGATTTCCTCGCAATTGATTTATCATCCATATTTGCACTTTGATAACAATTCTTGGTCATTGTGTGTGCCCTAGTCCACTGGCCTAGACTTTGTATCGATATGTGTGCATGTATGTATTTGTTTATCAACAAACTATTATAATGTCGTTGACTTTATCTGTTTTGCCTTGCCATTGTCTCATTGGACTTGCTATAAATGGAAATCTGTTTCTCATTCTTTTTCATTGCTTTTCTAGTCAATTGTCCACATATCACATTACACAGTAATTAGTTAATTTGATTCATTTGGCTAATTGGCTGTTACAGGCAGCGACACTGGCTGAAGTAGCGAACACACATTTTACATTTTACACTTTGCATTACACTCTAGACTCTTGTAGCTTGTGTTTACTCTTAAATGACTCAATGCACAATGGGTTCACAAGTGAAAATGATATAAATTTAGATATGTATTTATATACATATTTATATTTTTTTAATTAATTAATTATATTTATCATGAACAAGGGATCTTAATTATTTTTTAAAATTCTAAATCTAATAATTATAAATAAATCTAATCTAGTGATTGTTAGAGTTGTAGAGGCCATAGGCTGATTTAATTTCTATCAAAAGACTCTCTGGACTGTTGGAGAATCGAATCAACCTGAGGTAATGGAGAAACAAATAGAAGAGCGGAATAAATCTAGCTTGCAGACTCGCTTAATTATTCAGCTTTAGGGTCATACAGCGCATAAAACTTATTAAAAAAGGTTTACCAACCTAAAACCGAGACTATGCTAGCACAAGACTTTTCTGTACTGTTTGTAATAGTTATTAAGTGAGCCAAAAAGTATTCTACATATTTCAGCTTGACTTCGTTAATCAAGTGTTTGCTGATTGGTTCGTTAGCTTTGAAGCATGCGACGCCTTTGATTGGAGGAATTTAATAATCAAATAACTAAAATTAATCTGAAATGTGATACGACAATTTGATTTGTAATTTTCAACAGAGTTTTCTGTGACATAAGATACCCTATTATATATTTTTAAAATATGTATATATTTTCAAAATGTTTTATATGTTATTTTTGTCAGGAAATGTTCTGCTACTGTTCTGCTTGGTTGTAGCTTAATCTAGTTTTATATTTAAGGGAGTAAACAAATTAGCAGAGAATGATCAATACATATGTAGATTTAGACATACATTTGTATATGGAAATCCAGAAGTTCGTTGCTTAAGTCTTTTGTTTTGAGAGGCAAAAACTGATATTGCATGTGCATATGTAAGCATACATTAAAAGACTTTTATAAGACATTTATAAGAGCATCAATAAAAAGGCTATCTATAATTTTATTACATGCTGAAATAGTATCAATTATGAAATTAAAGTGCCTCTTTGATAAATCAAAAGCAACAAAATAAATATAAAAATAATATAGGAATTTAGGGTCATATTATAATTACATTAGACAGCAAGCTATATCTACATAAAGCCGTCTATTTATATAAATTGTAACCAAGTGCAACTCCTGTAGTTATGTAAATGATTAGTTATATTACTTTTAACTCAAGCCACAAAGTATACTAAAGAAATGTTGGTTTACAGCCATTACACCAACTACTGTAACGCCTTAGCTCTCTAGTCAAAACATAGCTCATATACCAGACTTATATTATAGAAATTAATTATATTTTCTTCCAATTGATAATTGAGAAAATATTTCACGTATTTGTAGCTAGCTTGTGCACAGCGCTATTTTAATAGGCCTTTAATTAATTAGATTTGAGCCAATTAAAGATCAAACATCTTAATGTATTCCACAGCCGATCGATGATTTTCTATTTTCCATTTGACTTGTAAACTGTGTTTGGATTGGAAAGATATATATTCTATTTAATGATATATTTGTGGTTAAAATATATATATATTTTACTGTGTGTGGCATATGAGATAAATATGCATATTAAATTTCCAGTGTGTACTGTAAAGGTGTCATAAATAATAGCATTTATATTATCCAAATTATAGAGTGAAACGCTACCAATGGGAGTTTTAAGAAAATTATTCTAAACATATCATATCTCCAGTTTCTATTATTTCATTATTATAGATAACATTCAAGCTAATATGCTCCACAAATCCAGTTTAAATAAAATTTGGGCAACCAATATACCCCAATCACTTTTCGAACGAGGTACAGCAGCTGTCTAGCCGCTGACAACGTCTCAAACTCACCTCGTTGCTGCGCCCATTTCGGCTTATCTTGAAAAGTTCTGGGGACTACCTGCTGTTACTGTATTCTGTTTTTTTTTATTGTTTTGTTTGGGTTTGTTTTCAATATCTGGTACGTATGTATTTAGCGTGAAGACAAAACATAACTGACAGGTAGAAGTGTTTTATGACTTAGCCAATAAATCGTTAGCTGATGGACTTATAATTGAATTATACATTTCTGCAGATTAGATTGGAACTGAGGTTTACAATCCAATATAAAATAGGCAACGAATTGTATTTTTTGTTTGGCCTTTCAATTTAGAGGAAAGGAAAGGCCGAGATAAGAATTTTCCTGACAGCTGAATTAAGTATGAATATTATAGTTAAGACAGAGTCTTAGATCTGGTTTTAGTTGTAGAAAGTTTTGCTTTAACTAGCTGCCACATTTGAGAGGGTATTAGCTGTGCGTTGTTCTAGGATTTTGTGATTCCCAAACGTCTTTACTTAACTTTTTTTCGATAAAACTTTGGCTTGACAATTGACGTAATTCGCGCGTCAATCTGTAGCATTTTTGTGCTCTTTTATGTGTTTTAATATCGCTGGAAACGTTTTAACGTGTACCCGATAATAGCAAGTATTGTACTTATTGTTGTGAGATGAACTTGTTGTCGATAAATCTGTAAGATTTTATGCTCTACTAACTAATGAATCAGGAAATTTCACTCACAAACAAAATATATAAAAATATAAACGTAACATTCTACAATTGAATCGAGTTGTATAAATGCATTCGCATATTATTATATTATGAAGAAAATAACTGAGAATCAATATGAACATCAGTTGATCCATTAAATATATTCATAAACAAAACAATTTATATTTCTATAAACAATTTATAAATTTACATATATACATAAAGCTATTTTATAACCATTTAATGTACGTTTTGTACTTCGTATTCGGTTGAAAGAGCGCAGACTCAAAACAGCAAAATCGGAATCGCTGTTTGGCATAGTTAATCAGAGCTACGGCCTAGACCATAAAGTGGCCAATCAATGTCATCGAATGTCGACTCAACTGCTGGTAATTAGCATGCGCCACGTTGTGCTCACAGCGCCGAATAATACCGATACCGCTAGCATTATAGTTATCTATTCGCCAATTTGGCTTCCATTGAGCGGGTGGCTAAAATCGGGGGAACTTGAACTTGAATTTACATGTGACTCGCTGTGTTCGCGTAATCACAAAATTAAGGAACTGAACATGGTTGGCCAGCTTTGGCTATGGTCAAGATCAAACAGCAAAATGTTTTGCATATCAAAAGCGAGAATGTTTTGGTTAAATAAGTAGAGAATAACAGATACCCTGGAAGTAATTAATTGTTGTTGAATTTGAAATAAATAAGTAGATGAAATAAGAAAGTAGATTTTTCTAAATAAATTATATATATGAAATAAATGTATCTCAATAGCTCTTGGACATCTATCTAAATATTGGCTGTATAAAGTGCAAAATTAACAAGAAAGAAAGCTCTAGTCGAGACTGCTCGACTACGAGATCCCCTG